GATACCGTGCAGAAGCTTTTAGAAATCTTTCATGCATTGCAGAATGGGACCAATTTCTCCCCTGAAATCAGTAACAATTTTGTTTCAAATAACTAAAATTAAGCTAACACGATTACAAGGGTGGAGTTCTACATAGTAGCCACATTTCTCTTCCCACCCACAAATTACAGCCATGATCAGGTTGACACAGTCCTTGGGAAAAGAACATGTCATTAGATACATTTAGTAGCCAACATCCAACATCAACCATATGTTAGAAATAAATACGAAAAAAATAAACAAATGTTAGAAATAGTTGAAACTTGCCTCAAGACAAGGCAATGACTTCAGACTTCCCTAGGAATTTAAGAACTGCCAACCAATCCACTCAGTTCTTGCATCACATTGTCCATGGATGGCCTGTGGTTAGGAGATTCGTGGGTACAAAGCAGAGCAATTTTCACAAGTTTAGCTGCCTCAGATTCTGAGAACTTCCCTTCGAGATTTGTGTCGATGAAATCTTCACATCTGCTAGCCTCAGATACTTGGCGGGTGATGAATTGAGTGACCTTACGTTTTCCACTAAGGATCTGAAGGACAATCATTCCAAATGCATATACATTGCTCTTTTCAGTAAAACGACCTGTAGTTGTGTACTCAGGAGCGAGGTATCCCATGGCAGCACTAGCCTTGAGAGTGGAGAAGACTACATCATCCGCAAGGAGTTTGTGTAAGCCTGAATAGGAGAGCAAAGGATTATACTTTCTGTCAATAAGCACCTTCTCTGCGGATATATTCTGGTGAACAAGAGCAGGCTTGTTTCCCTTGCTTCCATGTAAATACTCAATACCTGGTAAAGGATAACACATTTCAATATACCAAAGTGGAAAGAAAGAATCAAGAATAGTGTAACTTCAAGGAACAAAGAGAAACTGACCTTCGGCAATGCCGTTAATAATAGAGATTCTGGTGGACCATACAAGAACATAGCCACTTCCCTGCTTCACATCCAGATACTGCAAAAGGTTTCCATTTGACATAAAATCATAGATGAGATAACATTCACCTCGGCCTTTTGAACAGCAAAAACCTCTTAACCTCACTACATTTTCATGATTCAATGAGGTCAAAATTTTTAACCCCTTCAAAAACTCAGCTTCATCAGATTTGCAGCTTGTCTTGGCAATGCATTTTATAGCAACAAAAGAACCATCTCTGAGGAACCCCTTGTAGATGGCTGAGAAGTTGCTTTTCCCCAATAAATTCACCTCCAAAAAACACTGTGTAGCACCCTCGACTTCTCCTAAATTGAACACGAAGCTCTCAAAAACTTCCTGCGAAAACCCATTTCCATTTCGACCTTTGTCTAGAGGATCCCATCCATTCGAATACTCTAAGCTGATTAGGGGAGAGGCACTCCTTCTGTAAACCTCCTTCACCTGGTCAGTACTAAGCCGACTATCTGAAGCATCAAAAGCACTCCCAATTTTCTGTTTTCTGCAACGGTAACATGCAAACGTGATAAGTCCAATGACAGATAGGGCAAAAATAACTCCAGTGATGCCAAATATCACACCCACTTTTGGCTTCTTGGATGGCCTAGCTAGAGCAGTTGTTTTCCCTGCAATTAGGGTATGACTTTGCAGGATAGATTGGTTCAGGTCTGTCTGTAACCGTCTTCCTTGAATCAGTACATTCCTTCCGATTGGAAAACCCTGTAGCCGCACAAAGCTGGATTGTTTTCGTATTGGAACCCAGCATTCGGTCTCTTCAAAGCTGCATTTCCATGCAGAAGACAATCATAAAGACAAGTTAGAACCTGCTCCGTTTTAATTTTATACAATTCATTGATACAAACGAGATAAACAATAATGGCTACACAGGGTGGAGATTGATATTACCCTGAGGTACACTGCCAGAGAGAGTATTGCTGCGAATATCTAGCACTTTTAACATATATAGGAGCATCAGCTAGCTTGCGTCCGAACAGAACCAAAAAGGTTTTTAAAGCTCAAATCCAACCTTGTTAACATCTCCAAATCCCACAAACTAGCTGTTATTGCACCCATTAATTAGTTGGTTATATTGCAAAGCAAGGACCCTAAGCTTCTTCAGAGATCCTAATTGTGTAGGTATGCTCCCAGACAACTTATTATTACACAATTGCAAAACAGTAAAACCAAAAGTAAGTCCAGATCAGTGTAAATCACAGCAACTTGATGTTGGAGAACGTTGTCCAAAACAGGACAGAATATTAAATCCAAGCTTCTGACATGAAATTTCCCATTCATTCCATTGTATAAGTATAACTGCAATTACTTGGGGAGTAATTATTAGAACCACCGTTAAACAAGATCGAATCTTTTTAATGCTGAAACTGGATATATATAATAACAACTGCACCCAACAGCAACCATACCCAAATCTAATAAATGCTACAGGCGTACGTTCAAATTTAAATTTAAAAAAATAGAGAAAAAAAGTCAAAACTTTTTTCTTTTTCAAATAAACGCATAAAGGCTATGAAAGAGAGACGAAAAAGAAGAAGAAGCAAAGGTAGTAGTAGTTCCTGTTGGAATAAAAAAACAAGGAGCTTGGTGGATTTCATAGATACTACCAATTGAAGTTCAAAACTTTAATTAATCCTAAAATTAATGAAGTTTTAATTAAACATTAATAGTTCAAGCACGACCTGTAAGAACCACCGACAAAGTGCAGAAATATAAAAACAAAGTCAAAAAATTAGGAGAGGAGGAATTTGGCAAAGCTTAGTGATTTAACGGTGTCTAACTGTCTATATAAGCTTTTGAAGCCATATCCGGATACCAAACAAGCTTCATGTCTTCTAGCTTAAAGAGGGACTAAATTGAGACTTAATTACAAAGAGAGATTAGTAAGCTGTGGTGAGAAAATCAAGTGTGTGTTAGTTAGGCTTTTAAATAGTTGGGAGAAAGGGAATAATGCTTTTGCCCTCCTCCCTCCTTTTTTTTTTTTTTGCGAAAGGCGTTGAATTTTTGTTTGTACAGTTCTTTATAATGAAATGACACGGACCTATCAATATCTATAATTTGATTAATTAATTAATTTAAGGTTTATTCCCAAAAAAATAATAATTTAAGATTTAAGTTAAAAAGTTGATATTGAAAAATTATTATTATTTTTATTATTATTTTTTATATGTAAGGGAATTGAGGGTAAGGGAAACAAAAAATGAGAGTAAGACAGTTCGAACCAATGATGTGGACAAAAAACTCATATTGTGACCGCATGAGTTAGGTGCCAAAATTTGTTAAAAAATTATTATTTAACTTTTTTCAATTGGAATAAGTTGCATCCAAGTAAAAATGTAAATATTATTATTATTTTTTTTATAAATTTAGTCAAAAACCTAGGAAGTACGATAGTATTGACTAAAGTATTAATATCATTTGGTTTAAGTTTTTACTATATTACAGTATGTATAAACGAAAATTAGAATGTTATGATACACTAAATGAAATTTTTTTTAATAAAATTTAATTTATTAAAGATATTTTAACTTATTAAAAACAAATTAACAACCAAGCTATCCAGAAGTCTGGACGTCCATACTCCTTGTTAATAGAAGCAAAAATGCATTCTTTTTCCTTTTGATTTGGATGGTATAGTGATATGTTAGCTTCTCAATCTCATTACAATATTGCCAACCAAAAAAAAAAAACAAACAAACAAACAAAGAAGCCATCGAGAAATCTGGTCCACAACAATTTCCAATGGAGTTTAATTAATAATACTCCTTGTTAATCGAAGCAAAAATGCATTCTTTTTCCTTTTGACTTGGATGGTATTGATAAGTTAGCTTGCCTCTAAAAATAGGATCCGCCTCCTCTGTATGAAATCGTGAACTACATATGGTCAAACAGGACGCTGGGCACAATAGAAAATAAAAACAATCTTGTGAACTCATTAAGCAATACATATATATGTATATCTTCTGTACTTGATAAGCAATTAAGTGGATCAGAACATTACGAGTCATGATCAGGTGAATCCAATTCTGCTTATGAGTCAAATGGTTTGGAGTTAAAATGGATCACAAATCAAAAAGACTAGTAACTTGTTTTAAGTGGGCACCTTATGGTTGAGTCAGTACTTTATAGGTTCTGAATCTACTCATGATTTCAAGATTCTATGATAAAATCAAACATGAGCATGCATGATCAAGAACGGTATTCGGTCTTTGGTTCTTTGTTGGGATTTGCTATTGCTTACACTACAAGAAAAAGGCCTATCGCCTATGTGTGTTAAAAGGTTTACCTACATTTTTAAATACAAATAAAAAATTACCAACATTTGCAAAAACGCCACACAAATACTAGCATCGACAACATTGGTAAATCCAATTTTTGCATTTTATGCAAATGTTAGTATAAACCTCTTTTTCCTAACCTTTACTAAAAAGGCAAGGAAATCACTTAAAGAATGCAAGTATACCAAATGCTACGCCTAGCAAATGATAGAAAATGATGTCCAAACAATATGCGACAATATCTAAGAGTATCCTAAAACTTGAGTTGCCATATCTAAACACAAAATAGCTAGAAAATCACATTATTGCTCCAAACAATTAAACTCATTGTAGCCTTGAAATATCATATACAAATGCTCTACATTATTGCCACCAATAGCATCATTACTTTAAGATGCATGATCTGGAACGGTTGCACTCTTGATTGACCTTAAAATGCAAATAAGATATATTTTAAGTTGTGAAAAAACACTAACTAATCTAATACATCTTCTTATCAAAAGTCCAAAAACAACAAACAAACAAGTTGAAACAAACAACGTACTGTTAATTTCCTAGTCAAACTACTTGCAATAAAGGAGTGAGTTTAGGCTTATAGCTAAGAGCAAAGAGCACCTTAAATTCTTCCTCTTACCTTTCATTATCAATGACTTATGGTGGCTCATTATGTGGAAGATTGAAACAAATAGCTTAATTTATTGGGTCACTCCCATGATCTTATTGGCTTAGACCTTGGCTATTAATTGTACTGGTTTGACTTTTTTCATTTATGTCTTGGGTGTTGATTGTAATTGTTTGAGTTGGTTGATTTTGGGTGTTGGCTAAAGTACCTCTACTTCTGCTATTGTTTTGTGTAGAAGATTTATTGCTTGGCTCATTCTCACAAACAACGATTTTGCATAGCCTTTTTCTTGGTCCACTCATCTATCAAGCTTTAATAAAAATGGAACAAAAAGTACAATGATTAGTTATACCACTCAAAAAATTAAGAAATAAAAAATGGTATGTGAATGAAATGGAGTAGTAATTTATTGAAAGTAATTGAGTACTTCAAAACCACCTATCCTAATCTAAGGGTCTATTTGGTATAACTATTAAAATTTAGTGGATAGCAGATGGCAAGTAACAAAAAATAAATAGCGATAACGGATAACAAATGATAGTTAATAAATAGCAAATGACGAATAGCGAAAAGTGAGTAATAAATAATAGATAGCGAATTTAATTAATATAATTGTTTAATTAAATAATAATTAATGGTTGTTATTCAATATTAAACGGTTAATAAACACATATTTAAAAATAATTAAATATATTAATTTTAACCACTATATAAAAAACACCCCTAAATTACAA